AACACCTACCCAGTGCCATTAGGGAGGGGAATTCCTGGATTCTGACCCAGTGACACTGAAGAAACGATGACATATTTCCGAGTCAGGATGGGGAGCGGCTCGGAGGGGAACTTGCAGTTGGGGGGGGGTTGGTATCCTGTTAATTCTGAAATGCCCCGTGAAACAGCCAAGAACTCAGCTCGAGGGGCAATTAAGGACAGATAACAGACGCTGGCCTCGCCCCTCGCTGCCAGGGAAAAGGTGGAAGGGAAATGCCAGCTTCTTCGTGACAGGTTTCGGAGAGAGATTTTATTGAGCGCGGTGTATAGCGCGTACACTGGGCCAATCCCAACGCAGATACCTTGCACCGCCCCCCCCCCCCCCCCACCCCCCCCCACCCCGGGGCCCCCATCCCCCCCGGGGAAACCAGCTGGTCCAATCGCAGCGCGGCGTTCGGAAACAGGCGGCGACTTCCTGGATTGTGTGACCAAGTCGCACCGGCGAGGAAGTGACATCGTTCCAGCCCCGTCCCATCGCGCGGAGCGCCAACGTTTCACTCTGGGCAACGCGCCAGCTTCCAACGGAGCAGCCCGAGGGGGGGGTCAGGGTCTACACTCCCCTCCCCACCCCACCCCGCCCCACCCACAACCCCCAACCCCACCCCCTCCGGGTGTACATCTGTCCTGGGTCCCTCCAGTCCTCAGTCAAGGAGTTTGAATGGAGGGCCAACCAATCAGCACGTAGTAACCGGGTGCACGAAGTAGCCTTAAACCGGAATGTCCCTTCGCTGCCGGAAAATTTCTTGGATTCGGGAAAATCACAGTCAGTCATCGATACAAAGTCCTCAAACAAAGACAGTTTCCCGCCGTGTCTTCCTCCCGTCTCTGCTTCAGGATTTTAACTGCAAGGATGGAAGTGCAAATGGAGAATTAACTCTAAAATATTGGGTCACTGTAATACTGTCAGGGACAGCACAGGGTTAGATATGGAGTAAAGCTCCCTCTACCCTGTCCCCCCCCATCGAACACTCCCCAGGGACAGGGACAGCACGGGGTTAGATACAGAGTGAAGCTCCCTCAACACTGTCCCCCCCATCAAACTCTCCCAGGACAGGGACAGCACGGGGTTAGATACAGAGTAAAGCTCCCTCTACACTGTCCCCCCCCATCGAACACTCCCCAAGGACAGGGACAGCACGGGGTTAGATACAGAGTAAAGCTCACTCTACACTGTCCCCCATCAAACACTCCCCAAGGACAGGGACAGCACAGGGTTAGATATACAGTAAAGCTCCCTCTACACTGTCCCCACCATCGAACACTCCCCAGGGACAGGGACAGCACGGGGTTAGGCACTCCCTGCCCACTGGCCATTCAGCCCCCCAGCCCCACCCCCACCCTGGCCCAGCCAACGGTGGGGGGTCCCCTTGAGGGCAGGTGTCCTGTGCTCTGTACCACCATGTTGTGAGTGCCCCCTCTCACCTTGTTCCTCAGCATGTACTGGCTGGCATTCTCCAAACTCCAGTGGAAATCCTGCAGGATACGACGGCATTCCTCCCGGGATCGCTGGCTGATGTTGTACAGATGCTGGATCTGACGGGAATCGAATGGAAAACCGAGGGAGGGTCAGTGATGGCCAGAGAGACACCGGGCCGTCTGAGTGAGGTTGGGGGGGAGAGAGAGAGAGACAGACAGACAGATAGAGAGAGAGAGTGAGAGAGAGAACAAGCAACGGAGAAAGAGAGACAGAGAGAGAGAGAGGAAGAGAGAGAGGGTGAGAGAGGGAGAGCCAGAGGGAGAGCAAACAAGGGAGAGAGAGAGGAAGAGAGAGAAGACAGAGAGAGACAGAGACAGACAGAGAGAGAGACAGAGACAGACAGAGAGAGAGAGAGAAAGAGAAAGCGAGCAAGAGAGAGAGAGTCCCAGACTGCTCCTGATAGCTTTTCTTATATGAAGCCACAACATTAGCCACACTCCAGTCCTCTAGCACCTCACTCGTGGTTATAGATGATACAAATATCTCTGCCAGGGACCCCACAGTTTCTTCCCTGGCTTCCCACAATGTCCTGGGATGCACTTGATCAGGTCCCAGAAATTTATCCACCTTTACGTTTTCTAAGACCTCCAGCACTTCCTCTTCTGTAATACGAACTATTTAAAAACATCAATGTTTATTTCCCCGAGTTCTGTATCCTCCATTTCTTACTCCACAGTAAAAGCTGATGCAAAATATTTATTTAGTATCTCTCCCATCTCCTGTGATTCCACACATAGATGACCTCTTTAAGGGGCCCTATTCCCTCCGTAGTTCCTTTTTTGCTCTTAATGTACTTGTAGAATCTCTTTGGATTATCCTTAGCCATAACTGCCAAGGCTATCTCACATCCCCTTTTATCCCAGATAACTAGGCCCGAAACGTCGGCTTTCCTGCTCCTCTGATGCTGCTTGGCCTGCTGTGTTCATCCAGCTCTACACCTTGTTATCTCAGATTCTCCAGCATCTGCACTTCCTACTATCCCCTTTCATCCCTCCTGATTTCCCTCTTAAGAATGTCCCCACAGCCTTTATACTCTTTTCAAGAGATTCACTTGACCCCAGTTGGCTATACCTGACATATACCTCCTGTTTATTTCCGACCAGAGCTTCAATATCTTTGTTCATCCATCATCCCTTACTCTTACCAGTCTTATCTTTCACTCTAATTGGAACATAATGCCTCTGAACTCTCGTTAACACACTTTTGAAAGCCTCCCATCCCTTTACCTGCAAACAGTCTACTCCAATCAACTTCTGAAAGTTCCTGTCCCATAACCATTAAAATTTGCCTAACTCCAATTTACAGAGACAGAG